GAGCAAAGTTGCTGGTTATGGGGGATTTCAACCACAGGGAGATTGACTGGGAAAACCTGGAGCCATATGGGGGTCCCGAAACACGGAGAGCCAAGATGATGGACGTGGTGCTGGAAAGCCTCATGCACCAACATGTTAAGGACACTACCAGAGTGAGAGGGGAGGATGAACCAGCAAGATTGGACCTTGTGTTCACCCTGGGCAGTTCAGACATTGAGGACATCACGTATGAGAGTCCCCTAGGAGCTAGCGACCACGTGGTTCTGTGCTTTGAATATATAGTAGAGCTGAAAGTGGAGAGAGTAACAGGAGTTGAATGGGAAAATCCTGACTATAAAAGAGGGGACTACATAGGGTTGAGGAACTTCCTGCAGGAGGTCCCGTGGGACAGAGAACTGGCAGGAAAGCCAGTAAATGAAATGATGGAATATGTAACAACAAAATGCAAGGAGGCAGTGGAAAGGTTTATTCCCATGGGCAACAGAAACAACGGGAAGACCAGAACGAGCCCCTGGTTTACCCGACGGTGTAAGGAGGCAAAAACAAAGTGCAATAGAGAATGGAAAAAGTATAGAAGGCAGAGAACACGCGAAAATAGGGAGATCAGTCGCAGAGCCAGGAACGAGTACGCACAGGTAAGGAGGGAGGCCCAGCGACAGTATGAAAATGACATAGCATCGAAAATCAAGACTGACCCGAAACTGTTGTATAGCCACATCAGGAGGAAGACAACAGTCAAAGACCAGGTGATCAGATTAAGGACGGAAGGGGGAGAACTCACAAGAAATGACCAGGAGGTATGTGAGGAGTTAAACAGGAGATTTAAGGAAGTTTTTACAGTAGAGACAGGAAGGGCTGTGGGAAGTCAGCACAGAAGGGAACATCAAGAGGGAATATTCCACCAAGTGTTGGATGACATACGAACAACCGAGGAGGAGGTGAAGAAGCTGCTAAGTGACCTTGATACCTCAAAGGCGATGGGGCCGGACATCTCCCCATGGGTCCTTAGAGAAGGAGCAGAGATGCTGTGCGTGCCTCTAACCACAATTTTCAACATATCCCTTGAAACTGGGCAACTACATGAGAAATGGAAGACAGCAAATGTAGTCCCCTTATTTAAGAAAGGAAACAGAAACGAGGCGCTAAACTGCAGACCTGTGTCTCTGATATGTATTGTGTGCAAAGTCATGGAGAAGATTATCAGGAGGAGAGTGGTCGAACACCTGGAACGAAACAAGATTATAAATGAAAACCATCTTGGGTTCATGGAAGGCAAATCTTGTATCACAAACCTCCTGGAATTTTATGACAAGGTAACAGAAGTAAGACACGAGAGAGAGGGGTGCGTTGATTGCGTTTTCCTAGACTGCAGGAAGGCAGTCTAGGAAATATATATATATATATATAATATATATATATATATATATATATATATATATATATATATATATATATATATTATATATTTATATATATATATAATATTTATATATATATATTTATATATATTATATATATATATATATATAATATATATATATTATATATATATATATATATATATATATATTATATAATATATATATATATATATATATATATATATAGGAAGAATTTAATAATACATTGGACAAATGATAACTTTTAAAATTCTTAATTATTGAGCAAAATATTTTGTTCGTGGGTTGCGTGAAGGACCTGTCTAGTTTGGCCAGCGGACCTGCTGCAGAGTTCTCTTTCTTATGAGTTGAGCTTCAGGTGTTGCTTTGTTGTGGGATGTGATGGTGAGGTGTGGTCTAGACCCTTTATATGCATTCCTATGATGCTCTTAGCGTGCCAATAAAGTTAGGAATCCTTAACCTGTAAATAGCTTGTCAATAAAGCTAGGGATCCTTAACCTTGTCAAACCCTGTGTAAAAAAAAAAAAAAAAAATTACTTTTATATCAAAACAGACCATACAGGTAGACCACACTTCACATCAGTCGAATCAGGGACACACACACAGAAGTCAGACTTACGTGGACAGACACATGGCTTCTGCCAAAGGGAAGATGTCACGATGCTCCAGGGACACGACGGATGACTCGGATTTAGAAATGGACGACTCGGATTTAGAAATGTGGGGCGCAATCCTAGCGAAGAAGTTGCGAGACCACGTGTCATCAGAGGAAAAGTTTCTAGATCTGACAAGCCTAACCATGCAGCCAGCGAATACGGAAGGGACACACCGTCCCTCCAAGGAGCAGGTAAACCAGCTCAAATCACCTTCCAGATTCAAGGTAAAGGCTTATGGGGAACACAAAACCCACTATGGCGTGGTTACACACCTGGAAACACGGCACAAACTGAGGTTCAAGATATGGTTCAACATAAGACAACCAATACTGACTCCTATCAACAGGGAAATGCATACCACCTTGAAGAAAGCCATGGAGACAGACCGCTCCTTTACTCTGGAGGAACTGGATTCTCGGCAGATCACCAAGGGTGTAGTGAGGCGATACCCGCTGATTATGCCCATCGAGGCAGTAATAGCTCACCCCAGTGTCGTGTCGGCAGGCAACGCACCAACCCGGCAGGTCCTCATTCAACATGTAGGACCGCTGCCATCCCAACTGGACCTCGGTTCTTGGGGCAGGTATGATGTCAGGACCTTCAGGGCAGAACCAGTTTACTGTTTCAAGTGCCAGCGTTACGGACACCTGGGTGCACTCTGTCCGAACAGAGTAATCTGCGGTGTCTGTAGCCAGCGCCACCCTACCGAGGAATGCATCACCAAGCTGAAGAATGCATCGCCACCCACTCCACGATGCCCGAATTGCAGGCAGAAACACCATGCCTGGAACCCTCGATGCCCCGAGAGGCTCGCTAGAATTCGTGAGGCCTGGAAGACACCAACGATGAGACAGCAGGCTACGGCAGAGCATCACCGTCAGCAGACGATGGGTGCAGAGAATCTTGACATGCTGCAGAACTCTCATCAGGCAACCCAACTCAATGCCCAGGAATTTCCGACCCTAGATGACTCAACCAGGCGTCATGAACAGGAGCATCCTCCCCCACTACCGCAACGAAGAAATAAAAACATGAAGAACAAGCGGCGCCAACAGGAAACATTTGGGCAACGCAATCAGCAGACGGCACTACACGAGCCCCCACCGGCCTCCTTGCCAGGCACAGCCACTATGCAGGCTGTGCCTGCACCTCACCAGCAGATGCCGGGTACACAACTTGGCATACAGCAACAGGCCACTGCGTGCACAGTGAAGAAATACAACCCTCAGCAGTCCCCACAGATTACAACAGCTCAGATAATATCCGCTGCTTCGAACCCACCGACAATGCAGGCCCTCAACAGGGAGGATCTCTTAACACTCATCAAGGCATTCACGGATATTATCTGCAACACAATACACAATCACCTCCACGGAACAACAGAGTATGTTCCGGCAGATGGTCAGCACACTCCTGAGGGTGTGCCTACTGACAGAGGAGGAGACAGTGGATGCCATGTATCTGCAGATTATCAGAGCGGACAGAGCCCAGTCCCCAGCTCAGGAAACAGCTGAGATGGAGTAACCTCAGTACTAAATCATGGTTTCTTATGAGGCACACTAGCTGAACTGTCCAGAACAGTACTTGAGCAGCATATGCTGCAACAATGAAGAATCAATTCTCCTTCAGGAGCCAGAGACGGGTCATCTCAAGATTAAGACCCGTGCCAGGACCCTGGTCTTGGCACATACATTACTTTTATAGTTCCTTGATAATGTGAGTAGTCACGAAAGCTCTTGGAATTTCTCTATTCTTTCACAGTGGTTGTTTTGCAAATACATATATGTATGTATGTATGTATGTATGTATGCTATGCATCATGTATACATACCTGGAGGAAGATTCTTGACAGGGTACTGGTGGAAGTAATACACAACTAGGAGAGCCAGCAACACTAACAGCAACACCTCAACGATCATCTTGACTGTCCTCTGTGACTCGGGAAATTAACCGTTGAGTTATTAATGGAGAATAATGTGTGGTTTATTCGGGGAGTGAGGTTGTATCTTCGTGGCTCAGTTGGTAGCGGCCTCGGCTAATACATTGGAGGACTGGTGTTCGATCTCCTGATGAGTAAAAACGTTGAAATATTAATAATAATAATAATAATATCTTGATTTACTACATGTACAAGGTATACCAGTACATGTACAAGGTATACAAGTACATGTACAAGGTATACCAGTACATGTACAAGGTATACAAGTACATGTACAAGGTATACCAGTACATGTACAAGGTATACAAGTACATGTACAAGGTATACAGACCATAGCTGACATCAGTGACATACTGCTATATAGAAAGCTGCTTGTTATGCTGAGCATTTCGGGAAACAAGTTTGTTTACACCTGATGCCCCTGTTCACCTAGCAGTAAGTAGGTACCTGGTGTTAGTCACCTCACACCTGGTGCCCCACTTCACCTAGTAATAAGTTGGTTACTGGGTGTTAATGATCTGGTGTGGGTGGCATCCTGGATGGCTAACCCTCCCTACCCCGGATTATCCTGTGTGCCTAACCATCCCTACCCTGGGTTATGCTGGGTAGATAACCCTCCCTATCCCGGGTAGATAACCCTCCCTACCCCGGGTTATCCAGGGTAGATAACCCTCCCTACCCCTGGTTATCCTGGGTGGCAAACCCTCCCTATCACGGGTTATCTTGGGTGGCTAACTCTCCCTACCACGGGTTATCTTGGGTAGCTAACCCTCCCTACCCCGGGTTATCCAGGGTAGATAACCCTCCCTACCCCTGGTTATCCTGGGTGACAAACCCTCCCTACCACGGGTTATCTTGGGTGGCTAACTCTTCCTACCACGGGTTATCTTGGGTAGCTAACCCTCCCTACCCCGGGTTATCCAGGGTAGATAACCCTCCCTACCCCTGGTTATCCTGGGTGGCTAACTCTCCCTACCACGAGTTATCTTGGGTAGCTAACCCTCCCTACACTGGGTTATCCTGGTTTAATAACCCTTCACATGGTACATTACTAAGCATCATGTGAGTACACATGTAGATGTACTTACATGTGGTGGAGAGCACCAGCAGCAGCACCAGCAGCAGCACCAGCAGCAGCACCAGCAGCAGCAGTACCAGCAGCAGCACCAGCAGCAGCACCAGCAGCAGCAGTACCAGCAGCAGCACCAGCAGCAGCACCAGCAGCAGCAGCACCAGCAGCACCAACCAGCACAAAAGTCAGTCAGTTACTAAACAACGATAATAGTGTACCATCAGCCTCACAATCTCTGTCACCATGACTAAACTCTTATTTTAGCCCACTTAAGTAAACATTAATCTTAACATCAAAAGGTTAATATTAACATTCTGTTACTTCACTTCACTGTGACTTAGCACATATTTTAGCCAACTTATCTTAAATTTGATAAGGAAATGTATCTTGTCATTCTGACTTTTTTACTGAATTCTTCTTAACCAGAGTTGTTATTATTGAATACTTATTAGTAATGAAGAAATAATTACTAACAGTATGTTAGCCAAACTAATGTGACAAAGTTTCGCTCTCCAGGAACTTTGGTGCTACCTATATATACCCTCTTGTGTCCTTGTATTGCTTGTAAAGAGCGAAACGTTGCCACGTTACCGTGGTAACGTTTCGCTTTCTATTACCATTTATTAATATTATTAATAATACACAGTAAAGCGCTAAAACCGTAGGGGGTTAAAGAGCACCTAGGAGATGGTCCAGGAGTGAGCGAAACATCGTCATAACGTCCCTCTTCTTGCTCCGGGTTTTTGATGAAATGTTTCACTGACATATATTGTGACTTTTTATTTTTCTCAATCTTTTTCGATCCAGCGAAAGGAAACAGAGATCTGATTCCCTGGATCAAGAGCCCATCAGGACTGAGTTTATTAGTATCTGAAGTATTGAAACAAATTGTTCGGTGGTTCTGGGAAAAAAATTAGAAAATCAGGCGGGCAGCAATTATTGGTTTTGAGGAGGACTTGCCTAGTATGGGCCGGTTGACCTCCAGCAAGGCTCTTATGTTGAATGACATGTAGTCATCTCTCTTAACCTGCCAGCAAATATTGTTCCTCCTCACACAAAGAACGTACACACACACCACACACACACACACAACACACACACACACACACACACACACACACACACACACACACACACACACACACACACACACAAGAAATGACCGTGAAGTATGTGAGGAACTCAACAAGAGATTCAAAGAAGTGTTCACAGAGGAGACAGAAGGGACTCCAGAAAGACGGAGAGGTGGGGCACACCACCAAGTGCTGGACACAGTGCACACAACCGAGGAAGAAGTGAAGAGGCTTCTGAGTGAGCTAGATACCTCAAAGGCAATGGGGCCAGATAACATCTCCCCATGGGTCCTGAGAGAGGGAGCAGATGCACTATGTGTACCCCTAACAACAATATTCAATACATCTATCGAAACAGGGAGATTGCCTGAGGCATGGAAGACAGCAAATGTAGTCCCAATCTTTAAAAAAGGAGACAGACATGAAGCATTAAACTACAGACCAGTGTCACTGACATGTATAGTATGCAAAATCATGGAGAAGATTATCAGAAGAAGAGTGGTGGAACACCTAGAAAGGAACGATCTCATCAACAGCAGCCAACATGGTTTCAGGGGGCGGGAAATCCTGTGTCACAAACCTACTGGAGTTCTATGACATGGTGACAGTAGTAAGACAAGAGAGAGAGGGGTGGGAGGATTGCATTTTCTGGACTGCAAGAAGGCGTTTTGACACAGTTCCACACAAGAGATTGGTGCAAAAACTGGAGGACCAAGCAGGGATAACAGGGAAGGCACTACAATGGATCAGGGAATACTTGTCAGGAAGACAGCAGCGAGTCATGGTACGTGGCGAGGTGTCAGAGTGGGCACCTGTGACCAGCGGGGTCCCACAGGGGTCAGTCCTAGGACCAGTGCTGTTTCTGGTATTTGTGAACGACATGACGGAAGGAATAGACTCTGAGGTGTCCCTGTTTGCAGATGACGTGAAGATGATGAGAAGAATTCACTCGATAGAAGACCAGGCAGAACTACAAAGGGATCTGGACAGGCTGCAGACCTGGTCCCAACAATTGGCTCCTGGAGTTCAATCCCACCAAGTGCAAAGTCATGAAGATTGGGGAAGGGCAAAGAAGACCGCAGACGGAGTACAGTCTAGGGGGCCAGAGACTACAAACCTCACTCAAGGAAAAAGATCTTGGGGTGAGTATAACACCAGGCACATCTCCTGAAGCACACATCAACCAAATAATTGCTGCAGCATATGGGCGCCTAGCAAACCTCAGAACAGCATTCCGACATCTTAATAAGGAATCATTCAGGACCCTGTACACCGTGTACGTTTAGGCCCATATTGGAGTATGCGGCACCAGTTTGGAACCCACACCTAGCCAAGCACGTGAAGAAACTAGAGAAAGTGCAAAGGTTTGCAACAAGACTAGTCCCCAGAGCTAAGAGGTATGTCCTACGAGGAGAGGTTAAGGGAAATCAACCTGACGACACTGGAGGACAGGAGAGATAGGGGGACATGATAACGACATACAAAATACTGAGAGGAATTGACAAGGTGGACAAAGACAGGATGTTCCAGAGATTGGACACAGTAACAAGGGGACACAGTTGGAAGCTGAAGACACAGATGAATCACAGGGATGTTAGGAAGTATTTCTTCAGCCACAGAGTAGTCAGTAAGTGGAATAGTTTGGGAAGCGATGTAGTGGAGGCAGGATCCATACATAGCTTTAAGCAGAGGTATGATAAAGCTCACGGCTCAGAGAGAGTGACCTAGTAGCGATCAGTGAAGAGGCGTGGCCAGGAGCTCGGACTCGACCCCCGCAACCTCAACTAGGTGAGTACAACTAGGTGAGTACACACACACACACACACACACACACACACACACACACACACACACACACACACACACACAGATTAGTCGAAGAGCCAGGAACGAGTATGCACAGACTGCGACAGTATGAAAATAACATAGCATCGAAAGTCAAGTCTGACCCGAAACTGTTGTATAGCCACATCAGGAGGAAGACAACAGTCAAAGACCAGGTGATCAGACTGAGGACAGAAGGTGGAGAACTCACAATAAACGATCAGGAGGTATGTGAGGAGCTAAACAGGAGATTTAATGAAGTATTTACAGTAGAGACAGGAAGGACTCTGGGAAGACAGCACAGAAGGGGGCATCAACAGGGGATATACCAACAAGTGTTGGATGACATACGAACAACGGAGGAGGAGGTGCAGAAGCTGCTAAGCGACCTTGATACCTCAAAGGCGATGGGACCGGTGAATATCTCCCTGTGGGTCCTTAGAGAAGGAGCAGAGATGCTGTGCGTGCCCCTAACCACAATCTTCAACACATCCCTTGAAACTGGGCAACTACCTGAGATATGGAAGATGGCAAATGTAGTCCCCATTTTTAAAAAAGGAGACAGAAAAGAGGCACTAAACTACAGACCTGTGTCTCTGACGTGTATAGTATGCAAAGTCATGGAGAAGATTATCAGGAGGAGAGTGGTGGAGAACCTGGAACGGAACAAGATTATAAATGACAACCAGCATGGATTCATGGAAGGCAAATCCTGTGTCACAAACCTTCTGGAGTTTTATGACAAGGTAACAGAGGTAAGACACGAGAGAGAGGGGTGGGTGGATTGCATTTTTCTGGACTGCAGGAAGGCCTTCGACACAGTTCCTCACAAGAGATTAGTGCAGAAGCTGGAGTATCAGGCGCGTATAACAGGGAGGGCACTGCAATGGATCAGAGAATACCTGACAGGGAGGTAACAACGAGTCACGGTACGTGAAGAGGTATCAAAGTGGGCGCCTGTGACGAGCGGGGTCCCACAGGGGTCAGTTCTAGAACCAGTGCTATTTTTGATATATGTGAATGACATGATGGAAGGGATAGACTCTGAAGTGTCCCTGTTCGCAGATGATGTGAAGTTGACGAGAAGAATTAAATCGGATGAAGATCAGGCAGGACTGTAAAGAGACATGGACAGACTGGACACCTGGTCCAGAAACTGGCTTCTCGAATTCATCCCTGCCAAATGCAAAGTCATGAAGATTGGGGAAGGGCAAAGAAGATCGCAGACAGAGTATAAGCTAGGTGGACGAAGACTGCAAACCTCACTCAAGGAGAAAGATCTTGGGGTGACCAAAACACCGAGCACGTCTCCGGAGGCACACATCAACCAGATAACTGCTGCAGCACATGGGCGCCTGGCAAACCTGAGAATAGCGTTCCGATACCTTAATAAGGAATCGTACACTGTGCACTGTGTACGTCAGGCCCATACTGGAGTCTACAGCACCAGCTTGGAACCCACACCTGGTCAAGAACATAAGAACCTAAGAAAGAAAGAACACTGCAACAGGCCTACTGACCCAAGGTACAACTATACAGATGTGACAGAGTGAACAGGCAAAAGGGGGGGGTTGGCCTGTACATTGCAGAGTCACTTGTTTGCACAGAACTGCTTAATGCCTCAAATGACGTAGTGGAAGTTTTAAGCAGTAAAGTCGAGAACCAAAACCTAGTCATTGTGGTAGTCTACAAGCCTCCGATGCAACATCCCAGCAATTCCAGGAACAGCTGTTAAAAATTGACCACTGTCTGGAAAATCTTCCAGCTCCTGCACCCAACATCTTGCTCCTGGGGGATTTCAACTTAAGGCACCTAAAATGGAGGAATATAGCAAATAATATTGTTGCAGTAATAACACCCAGGAGCAGCTCTGATGAAAACTCACACTCACACGAGCTTTTAAATCTCTGCACAAAATTCAATTTAAACCAGCAAATAATAGAGCCTACTAACTGGAGAATACGCTAGACCTCATCTTCACTAACAATGATGATCTGATAAGAAATGTCACCATATCAAAAACAATATACTCAGATCACAACATAATTGAGGTTCAGACATGTATGCGTGGAGCCCCAGACCGACAAAATGAGACTAGTCACGAGGGAGCATTCACCAAATTCAACTTCAATAACAAAAACATAAAGTGGGACCAAGTAAACCAAGTCCTAACCGATATAAGCTGGGAAGATATACTAAGCAACACAGACCCAAACTTATGCCTAGAACAGATTAACTCGGTGGCACTCGATGTATGCACAAGGCTATATTCCTCTAAGAAAAAGGAGGAGTAGATGTAAAATAGAAAGAGACAGGCGCTCCCTTTACAG